CTGTCACTACAGTAGCTTGAGCACCTCTGCCACCCAACAGGCTCCTGTGTTTGCTCCTCATGGTCAGGCCTTCCCACCCAATTCCAGGGTCCCCACAGCCTCTGGCATGGCTCCTGTTGTTTTCTCATCTTATTTCAGTAGAACTAGGGAGACCGATGAGGGATTACTTTGTTTTTGTCGGTACTTGGACACTTTTCCCGGGCATTGTTTTGCACATGCGTTCACCAGCAAATGAACTGGACTTTTTTTTATGAATGATGCTTGTGTATATGTTTTACAGCCTCTGTGTATAGATAGATACATCTTCATTTCATTTGACTAGACACCTAGAAGTGAAGTTGACTTTCTGAGACCCCAGCAGTGTCTGCAGCTCCTCATGCTGTATCTTCATTGGTACTTGGATTGTCATCCTAGTTTAGGTGCTAGCTGTTGTAGTGCTATCTTACTGTAGCTCTTTTGTCTTCTCTCTTTGTGTGTGTGTGATTGTATTTCGTATTTTAGCTTTTGATTTTGAGATAATTAGTTGCAGATGTATTGTAGTGTAAGTGATTGTATTTCGTATTTTAGCTTTTGATTTTGAGATAATTAGTTGCAGGTGTATTGTAGTGTAAGGGTTTATATCATGGTCAGCTTGACAGACTCTAGAATCACCTAGGAGACAGAGCTCGGGGCATGTCTGTGAAGGCTTTTCTAGACTGAGTTGATTAGCTGAGTTGGGAAGACCCGTCCTAAATGTATACAACACCTTTCCAGGGGCTGAGGTTCCCAGCTGAATAAAAGGAGACAGTGAGTTGAGCACCAGCCTTCATTACTCTCTGCTTCCTGACTGTGAATGCCATGTGACCAGCTGCCTCATACACCTGCATCCAACATTTTCCGGCCATAATGCCTCTTTCTTCAAACTATAGGCCAAAATAACTCTTCTTTCTTCAGTTGCTTTTGTCAATGGTTTGATGACAGCAATAGACAAAGGAACTAATGGGTATACAGATTCTATAGCATGTGCCCAGCTCCTTCTAGTGCAGTTGCCTGCAACCAAAAGAGAATCTGCTCCCAGGGGACCTTCAAAGGTGTCTCAGACACATTTCTGGGTGTCCCATCTGGGGGTCAGGGAATGCTACTGACACCTAGTGGTTATAATCCAGGGCTGCTACTAAGTACCCCTTAAATGCACAGGACAGTCCCCCAGCAAAGAATTGTCAGCCTGGTCTTCAGAGTGAGTTCCAGGACAGCCAAAGATACACAGAGAAACCCTGTCTCAAAGAAACAAGAAATAAAAATAAAAAATGGAGTTTAAAATAAAGCCACGTAAAGATGGAAAACATACAGAGAGTCTGGATACTGTATTCTATTGTGTTGTCTTTGAATTGTTTGATGGCTGAGAAAGGAGAAAGAGTTGCTAAAAGACATTTGATTATAAATGTTGCTGATTAATCCAACATATTTATTTTGAAAATGCCTTGACTTCAAAATTTAAGTCAAAAGAAATGTTACTTTGGAGAAGAGGCTTTGCTTTTGTTTCCACAGGAAATTAGAGGCTGTGGATTCATTCTGGGTTAAGAAAAATCAGATTTGATCAAGGAAGACCCCCTGAAAAATATCTCTGATAGGAGTAGATGACCCAAATGATCCAACATTTCAGAAGACCTCTGTTGGAGTTTCCTCTGATTTCTACATCCAGAACAGTTTCAAGACTGCTGGCTGCCATGATCAAGCCTTACAGAAAATTCCAGTCAGGACTTGACCATAATCCTAAATTTTCTTTAGGTTACCATAAGATTATCAGTGTTCCCAGTCAGCAGGAAGTAGCCTAGAAAACTATACCTACATTCCCCCAAAATGGATTATGGATATTTGTCTTTGTTTAGAGTGTTGGTTACAAGTTTTATGGATAGTGGCCAGGAAAAAAGCTAAACAAAGGAGATTAGATTCAGAGTTCTTGTTTTAAAAAAAAATAGGGGGAGGAGGAGTGCTGTGGTGTGGGACAATGGTATTGTACTCTGTAAAGGTTTGTCACCTGTGCTGATTTAATAAAATGCTGATTGGCCAGTAGTCAGGCAGAAAGTATGGTGAGAAGACCAGAACAGGAAAATTCTGGGAGGAGGAAAGACTCAGTCTGCAGTCGTCACCCAGACGCAGAGAAATCAAGATGGGAATGCCTCACTGATAAAAAGTACCAAGCCACATGTCTAACACAGACAAGAATTATGGGTTACCGTAAGATGTAAGAATTAGTTAATAAGAAAGTCTGAGCTAATAGGCTAGCCAGTTTATAAATAATGTTGATCTACTCTGTGTGTTTCTTTGGGACTGAACGGCTACAGGACTGGGTGGGACAGAGACCTCTGTCAACACAAACCATACAGTTTACAACTTTCAAATTTCTTATTGATAGATTTTTAACATATTCACAGAATGTCTAACATTCTTCAAGGAATTTTGATATTTTCTTACCACCTCCAAAAGAAACTCTGTTGTCATGAACGTTTCTGCTCAAGTGACCTCAGCCCTCTCCCTAAGCAGCCATTAACCTAATTTCTCTTTCCACTGTGTGTAGCAGGTATAGTCATGTGGTTTGTAGACTTTTGTGGCTTCTTTACTCAGCTTGTTTCCAAGGTTCATCCGTGTTGTAGAATGTGTCAGTTCTTCATTCTGTTGACCTGCTTGGCAACAAATAATTATTCGGGTTGTTTTCAGTTATTTTCTGTTTGAATAACATTGCTGCAATTGCTTGTGAACAGAGTTTCAAAGCTAGGTCTGGAAGTCTCTTTTGTCCCATATTTTCTTCCAGTTTGTGGTTTGTCTCCTCTACCCTCCTTAGTAGTGTAATTTTTGGAAAGAGTTTTTTATTTTAATGACATTTTAAAATTATTTATTTTATTTTATGGTTCGTATACTTTGAGGCTTCAGAAATATTGCTAAGTAAAGCTCACACAGGCTTTTTTTCCTGGATTCTTTTTCTTTCAGGACGTTTTCTGGTAAAGATCTCAACATTAGCCTTCTGATGCATTTCGTGTCAATCTCTGTGCAAGGCACACAGTGAGAGTCAGGGTCATTTCCCCAGTGTCTACACATTCCAGCAGCACTTTTGAAAAGCCTGTTTTTCCCTGTGACCTTTGTGAAAATTCACTGGTGATATATGTGTGATCCTATCTAGACTCCTACCGTGACTTTTATCTATTTCTCCTTGTAGTTTTATTGATTATTTTTTACTCTGTAGCCCGAAGCTGTGTTATTTAGTACATAGACATTTAGGATTATTGTATCTTCTTTACAAGTTCACCCCTTTATCACTGTGAAATGACTTTATCCATGGTGATGTTCTCTGTCTGAAACGTGTTTTGTCTGATATTGAGGTGGCTACCATAGCTCTCTTAACTACTTTTGGTTTTTCACTCTATGTATTTACATATGTATATTAGAGTGTGTTTCTTGTTAGCAGTATATAGTTGGATCTTGTTTACTCCAGCGGCTTGGTGTTTTTGTTGAAATGCTCAGAGTAGTTATGTTGTTTGTCCTCCCTGCTGCTAGGGCTGACATCATCCTGCCCGAGCTCCTCTGTTGTCTCTCTTCTCTCCTCTGGTTCTTCGTCTGCCTTTCCTTGGTTTAATGGAATTTTTTATGAGTTCAGTTTGTCTTGATAGTTTATTAGCTATAATTTATTGTTTTGTTATTTTAGTAGCTGTCTCAGTGTTTGTTTAACTTATTAGTGATATTTTTCTACTACACAATGTAATAAAATTACAGTAGTATGCTCTCATTTTTGTTTCCTGGTCTTCGTGCTATTTTGTCTTCCGTTTTACATATATGTATATTCATACACACACACAAACACACACACAGAGACATATATGCTATAAATCCACAATTCATTTTCAGTTTTGCTTAACAATTGTTTCTTAAAGAGATATAAATAATGAGATCAATCTTTATATATGGTTATCATTTCTGGTCCTTTTTATTCATTTATGTAAATTTAGATTTCTATCTAGTGTCATTTTCTTCCTGTTTGTAGGATTTCTTTGATTATTTCTTATAATTTAAGCTTTTTTCTTAGTGTTTAATAAAGCATTTATTTATGGTGCCTTGTCTTCAGTAGTTCATGTTACTTCCTGGGTTTTTAAGCCTGCTCCTTGGAAGGTCTATACCCTGCTCTCAGGTTAACTTTAATGGCCATCTGTTTCTCCCTGGTGTCTGAGATGCCTACAAGATATATCTTTTAGACTGTAGTAGCAGTCCCATCTCTACAGCCCCATGGTGAAACCCTCTTGTGTTTGACATGTGGCTTAGTGCTGGCCGCTGCCTGTGGAAGGTTCCCTAGTCAATGTGTTGCTCCTTGGCTGCAGGCTGGCTCACTGCTCTCCTGCTGTCCCAGGGACCAAAGATAGCTTTTCCTTTCCTTAAACAGTTGCTCCCACTGACCCTACCCTTCACCTTTTGTTATCTTGACCAAGCCTACTTGTAGCATTTGTGCTCCCTCAAAACAGGTGTTGTGGGTCCATCCTGTTTAATATTAATCACATGGGAAGATGGGGGGAATAAGCCAGCAGAATCAGAGAAGAATCTTATTTAAAACAGTTACCTCTGGACTTCTGTCTGTATGTAGTACCTTGTTCTCCAGACCTTGAAGGACCAGCAGCTGCTCTCTGGGTCTCTTACTTGTGTTTATTGGTCACTTGCCCCTCTACCCGCAATGATCCAAGGATTTTCTTCCAAGTCTGTGTGAGCCCAAAGCAGCAATAAACCAAAGAGAATAAGGGCTTTCTGTGTCGAGTTTATTCTGACTTCCAGGCTTTGAGCTAAAGTCCCAATTCCTACAGGGCTTTGATTGGCATTAGAGCGGCCATCTCTGATGGTCCTTGGTCTCTGTCCTCCTGGATGGATGCTGGCTTTCCTTTTTCCATGACCCTCCTGCTAGTGTAAGCACTGTACCTGCAGTGCAGCATCCTTTGGTCAGCACCTGCCCGCTAACATCCATGTGGTTCCTTCTGTCCCTATAGTCAGATTGTCGCCAGAGGACTACTGGATGTCTTCCGGGATGTCAGCCACAGTGACAAGGACATACTGGCAGTCATGGAGGTGGCAGTCCGACTGTCAGAAGATGCAGGTTTGTTCAGTTCTGTAACTTTTTTACTTGTACATTTCTTAAAAATTATATGGTACAAGTGCTAGCTAAGATTGAAAGGCCTTCATATTAATCAGCGAGCTTTGGACAGTGTCTGACTGTGGATGGATTTTGTCACGAAGAACAGACGTCTTACTTGAGAATGACTCAAATTGCCCTTATTTTTGGAACATCGGAGTGACTAATGTGACGAAGGCCATTTGCCCTGGCAGTTAGGCCTTTTGTATTTCTTGAGTTTTGCCAGAGTGCTGGTTGCTAAGAAATACCCAATCAAAAGCAGTTCTTTGGATTAGAACAATCCAGTCATTAGTTTCTCTCACCTGTGATCTCTGTGGACTGATCTTGATTTTTCCTGTTCTCTCTGCCTCCCTGTGATTGCTATTCTGGAAGAAAGCACGCCGCAGCACAGCAGATGCTGCCTCCCCACCCCCGCCACCCGTAAAGATGAGGAAGATGAATGAGTAGTGGGCTTGCCAGTCTTGACAGCTGCCCGGCAGCCCCCCTTCTCTGCACTCATAATGAATGGCGAGCTGCTTCAGAAAGTTCCAGAAATCTGAGGCCTTAGAATTTGATCATTTTAGCTGAAGATAGAAAAGAAGCCTTCCATATAGCTCTGCTATCAGTTTGAAATATTCATGTGGATGTGACACGGTGCTTTTAAAAAGGCCCAAGTGGACGTTCTCAGGCTCTGAATGGATTCTCTTCGGAAATGAATCACCATTTACAGTGCTGTGGCAATTATATATTTGTGTTAAATTTAATGTGGTGTACTGGAGCTTGAGCGCTCTTTTGTTTAATGCTTTGCCTTAGAAATAATTGGGATGCGTGGATTGTGGGGGAGTGCATTTGTGAAAGAATTATTTATAATGTATACATCCTGGCTGGAATTTAAATAAGCACAACCCATAGGTCTGACAGAGAAGCCATTAGCTGTAATGGCTTTTGGACGCTGGCCCTGCGTGCAGACTTCTCGGTCCTTTCTCCATTTGTATATGGCTTGTTATAATAGAGTTGTCATCCTCTCTTCCTTTCATGTTTTTATATTGCTGTGTGCCTTACTAGCTTTTTAAGCCTGTCTGTAGCATAAATACTCTAAATGGGAAATGATTTTTAAACTGCATTTGTCTAATTTTCTTGATGAAGTATTTCAGTAAGCAAAGCTAGAAACCATTAGTATATACCATGTCAGATGCTTGACTTCTCCTTATCTAACTCTCTGTCCCATTGCTCCAGAGCCCACAGTGCGAACTGAGCTGATGGAGCAGATCCCGCCCATCGTCGCTTTCTTACAAGAAAGCAGGTTGGATTTTCCTGTGGTGGTCTCCCAGTACCTCGTGCCTGTTATAGTGCGGTACCTCGTGGATCCAGACAAGCAGGTGTGAGCATGCCCACCAAGGTCTCATCAGCACACTCTCTCTGGTTCATCTATAGCTCAGGAAAAGCCTTGGTAGAGTTAACTGCATGAACCAAGTCCTCTCGTCTCACGGGAGAAGCAGGCTGTATTCCTTCCTGCTGCAGAGGATTCTTCTCTAACTTTTCATTATGGATGTGTTCAAACACAGCAATGGGTAGAACATAAAAGTGAGGTTCATGAACCTTCTACTGCTTCAGCCATCATTAACACTTCACCAGTCGTTTCCATTGATCTTACCCAGATAGACTCCATCACAGAGGAAAGTAGTTCCCGACAGCGCATCGCTCAACTGTCAAAACTTTAGCATGGCTCTCTAAGAAATAAAGAGCTGAGGGTGTAGCTCAGTTGTAGACACTTGCTTAGTGTACAATTCCTACATTTAGTCCTTAGCATGGCAAAAATATATATGTAGAGAGAGACATACCATTATTTTAAAACTTATCATTACTTATTTGATGCCATCTGAAGTTTTATGTGAACGTGCTCATCTTTTGGAGAAACCCTGGGTAGTCCTCATGGAGAACACTATTTCCTTGGAGGCTGTATGATTTGATACCTGAATTCTGTCATTCATTGCTCTCTGGGGTAATGCCTAGAAGTCTTCAGTGAAGAGCTTTCCTACTATCTGTTTGAAAATGCAGACCACAAGGACAGGTGAGATCAGTTCTTTATGTTCTTCCTTTATTTACTAGTTTCCAGGATAATTAATTGGCATCCTCTGTCATCTACAGATGACTGCTGAGGCCCTGTCATTGGTTGGCATCCTCTGTCTACAGATGACCACTGAGGCTCTTTCATTGGTTGGCATCCTCTGTCTACAGATGACTGCTGAGGCCCTGTCATTGGTTGGCATTATCCTCTATTATGTACAAATGACCGCTGAGGCCCTGTCATTGGTTGGCATCCTCTGTCTGCAGATGACCGCTGAGGCCCTGTCATTGGTTGGCTGTCAGAATTACTGAGACCAACTAGGCTTTAGTGTGATGTCTGTGTTCCCAACATTGTGGGCATTGCTTCTTTTTGGTAATTGTTTTTCACTCTAGCTTGTGGGAGCTATGATTCTAGAATCTTCCTGACATGTCTAGTGGACTTTCAGAGTTTACCTCCAGCTGAAACTGACTGCTTCTTTACAGGATCAGTGCTTCTTAAACTGGGGAAATGATGAGAAATCAGAACATGGGTACCAGGGTACTCCTGGCTGTGCACTCAACCATTACTTCTAGTGATGGCTGTTTTTAAAAATAAAGTGGCCCATTGGTTTATTGGTATATCCAACTTTTATCAAGGATGGCTTTTACTTCATTTTCCTATTTTATCTTCTTTTTTCACTTTGTACAGTGTAAGTCTCATATGGTAGTTGATATGTTTGTGTTTAATCCACATTACTACAGTGTGTGTGTGTGTGGTGCTGGGGTGGGACCCAGGGCCTCCTGCTTGCTAGGCATGCACTCTACAATAGATGAGCTACATCCTCATCCTTGTTTTACTTTGGGTGTAAGTTGCTCAGCCTGACTTTGAACATTGGATTTCTTGATTCTGCCTTAGGTTTTTGAGAAATACCAGACTAGCCTGCGTGGCTTTTGTCTACTGTGTTGTTGTTTGTTTATTTTTGAGATTGTGTTTTAATTACATTTCTTCCTTCCCTTTCTTCCCTCTAAACCTTCCCATTTACCTTTCCCCAGTCTCCTTCAAATTCACTGTCTCTTTTTCCAGTTGTTATTTATTGCATATATCCTTTGTAGATGCATATGTCCCTTCATAGATATAATCTATAGAGCCCATATTCTTTCTCTTGAGACAAGGACTCACTATGTTGCTCAGGATGGCCCTGAACTCCTGGGCTCCAGTTCATCATGTTTATCATGTTTATCTTCAAGAGTAGAAGTAGCTCTTGTCATTCTGACTCTGATGCATCGAAAATATTCACCCAATTCCCAAACTTAAAACTCTCAGTGTATTTGGAGAAGTCTAATTTTCCTCCCTCTCTTCCTCCCTCTCTTCCTCCCTCTCTTCTTCCCTCTCTTCTTCCCTTCCTCCCTCCCTCCCTCCCTCCTTCCCTCCCTCCCTCTCTTCCCTTCTGACTCCCTTTCTTTTGGGTCTGCTTCCTCGAGTGGTATCTTACTGCTCCCCAGACAGTGCCCTGTGTCCTGCATCCTGGCCTTTCTCAGGTGGCTGTGCCCCCTCCTACTTTTTTCATGCCATGTGCCCTGTTTTTGGGGCAGTGACTCAAAGTGGGTCTTGCTCCAATTTCCTACAGTGTCAGCCTCTGAGGTTAGGGATAGCACATATGCTGTTGGACACTGGGGAAACTTTAGTACCTATGACATTGTTGAAGGAGTCTTGGGAGACTGTTCAGGGGCTCTCACACAAACTTGATGACCCAAATTCAGTCTCTGGAAGCCATGTGGAAATGTTTGATACAGTGGAGCGCATCTGTAATTCCATCATTCCTCCTCGTGATAGGAGCAGAGACAGGAGAGTTACCCATAAACTAGAGGGCCACTCAGCCTGGGGTCTGCAGCCCAGTGGCAGAAACAAGAGGGGTTGCCTCAAAAACAGGGTTGGAAGAGAGAACCAACTCCTAAAAGTTCTCTTTCACATATATGCCATGGAATACATGTACCCATGTACCCCCCCACACACATACAGTGTGAAGGAAGTCTCTGTCCTTTGTATTTGTATCAGTGTATTTCAGAGATGACTTCCTGTAAAGAATGAAAGTGATTTAATTTTTAATGACATACCATGTTTAGATTACCACTATTTTCAAGAAAGTCTAAAAATTTAGTTTGTGTTTTTTCTTGATCTGGTGTTTTTAAAAAGGACAGACAGTCGTTTTTAACTGTTACACAGTGTGACAGGGCGCAATAGAGTTTTCAGATAAGGAAAAAGCCATCCTATTTCCACTCTCCTGCCATGGATATTTTGATTATCTTTGCATTTTCTCCCACACGAGTCTGATCATAACACGGGGCGGCTTCCTCAATTTGTTCATTTGTTCTGACAGTTTCTGAGTGCCCATTATTAGCCAAGCCTGGTGTGTTGTGCCTGGGGATGAAGAGATGAACAGGACAGATTTCTGCCCTCAGCAAGCTCCTCTGAGGGCCACAGACATTCTTCTGTTTCTTCATCATCTGCACTGGTTTTAATTTTGTCGTGTGCCCCATCTTCAGCTCGGCGTGTGTCTGGGTGTTCTGTGAACTGTGCGAGCATCCACTTTTGTTCTTCTGTTGACTTTTCTTTCTCTTCTGATGCATTCTTGAAAATGAGAGACTGTCCAAGGGTTTGCCTTTTTCCTGACCTCTGTCGCCTGTCTTTGCTGTATATTTTGTCCAGACCATTGGATCCACAGCCCCATCATGTCTGACACTATAGATCTCTGCTCTGCAGCTGTGCTCTCTTCCTCCACTCCCTCAGATCCATCTCCATGTTCCTGCCCTTTGGTAGAACTTCTGCTACCTTGGCTCTGCCTAGCTAGGCCTAGCTTCCTCCAGTCTTGCCTGCTGAGCTCACTCTGCGGGAGGGTGCCCTGTCATGCATTGATTGGTGCCATTGGAAATTTATGGATGTGCAGTGCTGCCTGGCAGTTCTTTCCCCCGTCCCTCATCAGCTGCTTCTCCCATTATCCCTTAGACCTTTGCCATTCTCATCAGGCCCCTCACCCTGCCCTGCCTTTTGCCAAGCAAGTGACCTTGCCTTTTACATCACGGAGAAAATAGAGGCCTTCAATCTTCATCCCCTATTGCCGTGAACAGAGCCACCATCTAAGATATTCATTTCCCCTGAGCCACGGCCCGGGAACTCTGGAAACCCTTCCCCCTCACCTCCACATCCAGTCAGACCCATGCCACATATCCATTGTTTCCATCATAAATGCATAACCCCAAAGACCTCCTCTCCTCCTGCCCTTCTATCTTCAAAACCAGAGCTATGAGAAAGTTCACTGCACTGGGTAGAGGCTGGAGGCTGCCTCCTCTATCCTCACCATAGCCTCATGAGGGCCTGCTCACTGGAGCCAGCCTCTCCTCCCAATCCCTTTTCTCCTATCCGGGTCTACCTTTCATAATCAGGTGCCAACTCTTTGGAAGTGTGCAGTGGGCTGCTGGCAATGCCTAGAAGTCCTAGTTGGTCAGTGTTGTAGCACAAACATGGGTGACTTTGCCTCAGCCTAGAGTAGGTGCCTTATTCTGTCAGATTGATGAGCCTGAGGAGTATTGGCCATAGCCCTGCGTTAATACCTAAATTCTACAGCTGTGATTGCACAACTGGACAATAGCCGCTGTGCTTCAGGTCTGCTGTGGGTGTTTCAGGCTGTCCCACCAGCCTGGGGAGCATGGCACATGACATTCATTCCTTCATTCTTGTGTCAGATGAGAGGAGGCTGAGGTGTGGGAAATGAGGCTATGGCTGGATACTAGACCTGGATCCTGAGCCTCACTTGTCTGTCTCGGAATTGTCAGGGCTCTTGTGGACCTCTTGCCTGTCATCAAATCTGAGTCCTTCCCTGTAGGAACCTTTGTGACCTAGCCCCAGAGCCTGGCACCTGGTTGCAGTCCTCTGAAGTTGTGTGAGCCAGGAAGCTGGGAAACCTCTGTCCTCAGCAGGTCTCGCCCCTGCCTTCTGCCCTGGCTGACCATCTTCTAAAGAAGTGTTTTTGCTCTGCCTACTCTCAGCTTGTGTTGTTTCTGTGCCTCAGTTTCCCTCCTCTTTGCTTCTTGGCTTTGGTCCCATTTCCTACAGCTGATCTCCTTGGAGGATCTGCTGCAGCCCCCACACACTCCCACTCAGTTTGGGCCATTCCGCTCCCTCTGCCTGGGCTTCCGCTCCTGGTAGCTGGTAGACATGGAGCTGTTTGGCCTTGAATTCAGCTAATCAGCTCATTTGGAAGATTCAGTGCTCTTGTTTTAAAAACACTTTCATTTTTAAAATTATCTTGACAAATTTAATCACTTGAGAGAAGGATCATAAAATAAACACGCATCTCATCCCACCCGCTTTATGTAACAAGTGTTTGCGGTTTGCTTGACAGCTCTTTGCTTTTGATTTTGAGGTTACAGTAGTGGTTCCAAGTGCTCTGTACCCCTCTCCTGCTCCAAAGTACCACCATCCTTTGCATGCAGGTTGTTACAGGCATCCCGCTTGTGAGAGTGGCTCTGAGTGGGGTTGTTAGCACATCACATAAACTGTGTGGCTCTGCTTTCTGGGCCATGGTCTCCTGTTCCTCTTGTTGTGGGCCATTGAACTAACCTGTGCTGGGCTCAGCTGTTCACTTGATGTGTACCATCCAGGTCACCTGTTGGCAACCTCTTTTGGTTTCTGCTTGATCCACACTCTATTTGTCATTGCTGCCACTTTGGGTGTTTGAGATGAGAACTGGATGCCTGTCAGTCATTTCCTGCTGCTCCACACAGACGGTATGAAGGAAGAAGGACCACATGCATCCCTTGATCCCCTCGGGGCCCTGGATTGGGCTCCTGTACACACACCTCCTGTGCTCTGACAAGGGAAACTTTGGGAACAACAACAGCCAGCATCTGCTTGAGCACCATGTGTGCTAACTACGGTTCTCAGCTCTTTGCATCCTGAGAGGTTTTGATGCTTAGGTCAGGCCTCTGATGGCTTAAAGGTCTGATTCTTTATGGTGGTGCCAAAGTGTATACAGATGACCATTTTGGCTTTTACTCTCATTATTACATTCAACTGTTGGACTCTAGTGTCCAAACCGAGAAGGAGTCGCCCCCAGAGACCACCTCATATACCACAGCCGATGCAAAAGCATGAGGATTTTATTAATTCTGTCATGACAGGGTCCCTCAGCATTCGGGAAGCCGAGAGACCCCGACTAGCTGGTACAGTCTACTTTTAAAGGAGAAGGCCCCATAGAAACAAGAGGGGTTGTTCCTTGACCATTATGATTGGCTTATTCAAAAAGGGCTAATACCAATAATTGACTGGAGAACTATTGTCAGATCAGATGAGGTAACAGGTCATTTTGACCCCGTTTCCCCGGGGACTGAGTCAAAACATACGTGTATGGGTAATTGTTCAGGAACTAAGTACGTGCATGTGTAGCTGTTAGGTCCTTGGTTCCCAGGGTAGGAGGGGAAGCCCTGAGGCACAGAGGCTGAGAGGGTTTGAAATTGTCAGAAATGGCTTCAGGATTGTCTAAAATATTACACAACCAATTACCTGAGTTATACAGCACTTTACTATTAGATTGGGTTATTGTAGGCGATCTTGTCCAACTGTTGCTAATGTAATCACTCAGCACATTTGAGGTTGGCCAGGCTGTTAGTAGGTTAAATGTAGTAAATGCATTGTTGTTTTCTTGCTTGAGTTGAGATAAGATCTCAACTGTAGCCTGAGCTGGCCTGCAACTCACAGTGATCCTGTTGCTTCAGCATCCCAGGTATAGCGATAATGAACCACCCCCATCTTTGTTTTTGTTTTTAGAGACAGGTTTTCTCTGTGTAATAGTCCTAGCTGTCCTGGAACTTGCTTTGTAGACTAGAGAGACCAGACCCCTACACTGGTCCTGCTCTCTCTACCCTGCCTGCTCCTTTTTCTCTTTCTTCTGTTTTGGCGTCAATAGCCAGGGCAGTGTCAGCAGTCACCCTTTGCTTCTGTGACCTTCCGAGGTAATGGCTTTCCTAAGCCATTTTTTCTTACCCCCCTTTCTCCTGTCTGCAGGGCTAGGAGAACATGGGCTCCTTGCCCATGGCTGTCCTTTGGTCGCTGTTCTGTTATCATCACTCATACCAAAACATGATCTGTCACTTCTGTGCTCTTAAGCCCTCGGTAGCACTCACTGGAAGTTGTATTGCTCCCCAGAGGTCTTCGTGGCACTATGACAGCCTTTCCTGGGCTTTCTTCACCTCACCCTCAGTTCCTGTTCCATGCAGTTTTCCCTTACATCTGTCACCTGGAACTTGTCACGTCCCCAGATTTCATCCCCCTCTTCTCCTGAGCTTGCTGTTCTGTGGACCCGAAGTCCCTTTCCCTTGCTAGTGTATTGTTTCCCTGGGGCGACGGTAACAAAGTGCCAGGAACTTGGCAGCTCTAAGCCTTGGGCCTTTCTTCACTGTCAGTTTGGGAGCAAAGTGTTGTCCATGGAACTCTGAGGAGAACCTGTTCCACTTTTGCTGGTTGTGTCACTTGATGCCTCTACTTCTAAGTATTTCTTCACATTTTCTTTTCTAATCTTTCTCTTGTCATAATACATACTTGTGATGACATTTATGACCGCTGGGCTAATTCTGGCTGGCATCAAGGTCCTCTTAATCACATCTTCAAAGGTCCCGTTTAAAGAAACATTGGTGGCTATTCATTTTCCGTCATTATGTCTCAATACCAGATAACCCAGTTACCAAGAGGAAAGATTAAGCTGATGGTGGTGGCACACGCCTTTAATCCCAGCATTGGGGAGGCAGAAGCAAGTAGGTCTCTGAGTTTGAGGCCAGCCTGGTCTACAGAGCAAGTTTCAGGACAGCCAAGGCTACTCAAAAAACAAACAAACAGAAACAAAAAGTGGGGATATATTTGGACTCCTGGTTTCAGAAGTTTTGTTCATGGCCAATCAGCTCTGTTGCTTTTGGACCTGTGTGGAGTAGAACATTATATCAGGGAGCATGCATGAAGCAGAGCAGCTCACTCATGGTGGACAGGAAGGAAAAATGAGAGTCCAGAAAAGACCCAGTGACTTGGTTTTCTTCTGCTAGGCTCTCACCCCCTGACCCAAAGGTTCCCCACGCCCCCATCTCCAAGCATTGCCACAGGTCAAGGACTGAACCTTTCATCTCATAGACAAGATCCAGACTCTACCACTCGTAGCTGCATGTCCCAGAGACTGATATAGAAATGCCTTTGGAGAGCGCTAACTCGTCACTGCTCTTGGCAGCGCCTCTCTGTGGACATGTGTCTCCAAGTCTCCTCTTTGACTCTGTAGTTCCTGGTGCCCTCTCTACATCCTTGGTGGCCACTTCTTCTGGCCATGTCCCCACTGTGCTGTGTGTAGCCTTAGCAGTTGCCGGTGAGTGTTCCCGACTCCCTCCTGGTGCACTCCCTGTGTTCCTGGTGCCACCTCCAATGAGGAGTCTCCATCCAGGCTGCCCCAGAAATGTTTCTTTGTCTCATGTCCTTAGCTCCTGGCACATGCCTTCTCCTCAGTCAGTTTGACACCTGAATCATTGTAGCAGGACCCAGTCTTGTCACCATGCTGGGTAATATTGCTAGGCCATCACCTTTCTTGACACAGCCAACTTAACGGGGTCTCATCCCTCCCCACTGGGCTCTGCCTTCGATGCCTTGCTGGCCCTCTGTATTGTTTCGCATTGCCTGCCATTCACTTGGAGCACTACTACCAGAGTGATCTTTTTGAAGCACAGTTTCCCTCCCTGCACTCGGGTCAAAAGCCATGGTGCCATGTAGCCTTTGTGGCTACAGCCTTGGGGCTTGTCCTCTTGTACCCTGCTATGGGCTGATCATTGGTGACAATGTCTGTTCACTTCTGGGGCCCATTATGATTCTGTTGCCTTTCCTCTTCTGACAATGAACTGCATATTTCATTGCTCTCTCTATAAATGGGAATTCAAGTGCTTTCATTTCCTAAAAAATGCCTCTTTAGCTTCTTTTGGTCCCTTTACACCCTTTTGTTGGCTCTCTGCACAATGGCCAAGGACGAGAAGTATCTTTTTTCTGCCGGTGCTCTCCACCATGGTGGGGCTCTTCCAGAAACCACTCAGGTCTTGTATGTGGTGATCCAGGTTTGCGTAGGAGCAGGAATAGGTGCTGGCATTCATTCTGATACCTATGCCAGTGGGACAGACGTGTGTCCATTCAACCAGCCCCACAGAATGGGGTGTTCTGTGTCACCTGCTGTTTGTGCTAAGGGCGCGCTGAGAATAAGAGGCATTTCAGACGTGGGACTGCCCTCCAATCTCACCCTGTGAAAGACACATGACGGTTAAGAATCATACCCAAAACATGTTCATACGGGAGGAATGATTCCACCAGGAGACTGGGGCTCTCTCCAGAAGTGGAGCAAAGAGTAGACCCAGAGGAAGATGGAGGGCCACTGGGGGAGAGCTGTCTCCATCCTGAGAAAGCATCTCCCCATCTCCTGTTTCACCTTCTACTATTCCCCTCCAGGTCAGAAAATCCAGCCAGGAAGTGCTGCTGGCTCTTGTGGAGCAAGGTCTAATTTCCCAGTGCGACATGGAAGGCAAAGTGTGTCCCATTCTGCTGGAGCGCTCCGCTCCGGACTGCGATGATGAATGCAGAGCAGAGGCCGTGAGTGTAAGTCTTCCTGGGAGTGGCTTGCAAACCTGCTGTTTGAATTCTCACAAGAGTTGGACTTTGGCCAGCACCGTTCCCTGAGTAAGGTGGCCAGGGCTCATTCAAGGCAGTTCCACTAGTAGCTTTGAACCTGTTTTTAGACATGCTCATTCTTGGAGCACCAGGGCTGGAGAAGTCCCAGCCATGTGAGTGTTGCCAACCACTGACTCAAACCACTGCTGCTCAGGATCTCCATTCTCACAGCAAAGCTCCTCAACCTGGGGATTTTACCCTTGTTTCCCCCAGTCACAGGCCAGGAATAATTCAACAGACCTAATGTCTTCTGTCAATGCCAAGAAGGTGTGTAAGCAGTGATGGATCCCTGACAAGTGGGTGTGGCAGCACATTGGCAGAAGCAGAGCGGGGAGACTCAGCCTCTGCCCTGCCATGTTGGTTTTCCCTGTGGCATCCTGTGGTATCAGGCTACATATACTATTAGTAAGGGGCTGTACAGTAGCCATGGCTTCCTCCTCCCTCGTTATTTGATGGTGAGCACTGCTGGGTTCTGCTGTGCTCACCCAGTGCCACAGCCTGGCCTTGCTCCTCCTCCTCAGGGACCATCATGGACCATCTCATTTCCTTCAAGCACTCCCCTGTGTTGGCCTGTGCAGATGAGACTGTGTGCTTGACCCTTTCTGGGAGTTCCAGTTCAGAGCTTCAGGACTGGTCTGGCCTGGATGATGAATGCCGGGTGAGCAGATAGTTGTTTTCTTGTTCAGAAAGGAATGACGTTACAGGAAGGAATTACTTTTTTTCCCAAAGTGCAAAAGCATTATACACCATGTAGCTAAAAAATTATATTGCAGCATCAGAACGTTTGGCAATTATTCTTCATTTATATAAAAGTTTTTTTTCAACTATGCGTTAAAGGTCTGGATTTTTAAACTAATTTAATTTTTTGCATATTCCATATGTTTATAAGATGAATCAGTCTGAGGAATAATTGATTATTAAAATTCAAATTCTCCAGGGTTCTTTTATAAATTTCAAGTTTCTCTACAAGAAATTTAATTTACTTTGCAAAATAAACCTGGATAATAGCATTTAGCCAGGGTGTTTGGCAGTGGAGCAGTGAACTTTGCCAAGTAGATCTTCTTTTTCATTTGGAAGTTGGTCCAGCGAGTTTCCAAGGTTACAGCTGGCAGCCAAGAATCTTATCCCTAAAGACTGATAATGCCACAGAGAATAATGCCGAAGGCATTTCTGCAGGATTTTTATTTTGTTTTGTTTCCAAACACTCCATTCTTATCAGTGGTGTCCAACCCCCTCCCCCTTTTTTTCTTTTTTCTTTTTGGTAGAACTATTTGGAAGATATAACAAGCCTTCCATAAACAATCCCCACAGACCATTTGCAGACGAAATTGGTTTCTGGTTTGTGATTTGAAGCCCTACTGTGCATGCCCAGACCAATCATGCAACTCTGTCTTCTTGTGTTTGGAGGGCTTGCTTGTCTTTCTGTGGATCCCACAGGAGCAGAAGATTCTGTTCTATGGACCAACTGTGCTGTGGCCCAGTTCTTTCTCTGGATCCTGGAAGTTAGGGGGCCCTGGAAACCAAGAGCTGTGGGGCTGTCTTCTTTTCAGCTGGGAAATGACTATGTATGTGGCATGTAGGTGATTTTATTTGAGGAAGAAAAGACTACATGTATGTTATGGAGCTCCCCAAGAAAATTGTTGTCTGTTTCAGTGGGCAGTACCCCAAACTGCGATTATAGCGTGTGTTTACTGAGAATGGAGCAATGGTGATGGTAGAAGCAGATTGGACTGGACAATACCCTCTGCATTCTGGACTCTTTGTGGCCTTGTGTGTGAATGCTGTGGGTTCTGTAGATGCTCAGAAGGAGGCTGTTCCACAGGAAATGGCCTGTCTCAGGGATGACACACACATCTCTCTCTTCCTTAGCTTCAGTTCTCATTGGGAGTCACAGTCAGTCGGTTCTGATTGTCCTGACTTAGAGGCCCGCATGATTGGCACCATTAGCTACCCTACTGTACCAGTCAGACAGTGCAGCTTTCCTGTGGAGATAGGACTCAGGTCGTGTCTTATCCCATGTATACGCACAGTCCTTTGCTGACGTCTTTCCCTATACCTTGATCACTGCTAGTGATGCCTCCTCTCTGTGATCACAGGCTGCTGCTTGTCTGTCTCCTTTCACTTAGCAGTTGAGTTATGAAGTTCCATTTACCTGTCCCATGAAATGGTGAGCTCTGACCTAGGGTCACTGTGGCCTCGCACCATCGGCGCCCAACACAAGGCCAAGCTCAGAGTCAGTGCCGAATAAATGTTAGTTGTTGGATGAATGGATTGGTAAAAACTGTGAGCGCTGTATCTTGTAATTATATCTCAACAGGATAAACAGGCCACTGGAGACCAATTATAATTCCTCTTGCTTGCAGGGAGGCCATTAGCATTCTGCGATGATAACTAATTGTCAGAAGCCTGTTTTTCTCTCAACATGTTTTCACAGTAAGGCTTCCTCATTTTTTGTCGTCATCCCTACTTTGAGCTCATTTTTATTTGTGCATTTATTTAAGAGAATGCTGTGGTGGGCTGTAAAGAATAGTTGGCTCCAAGCAACTGGTGACAACCGTCATTCCACGCAAGTGCTTCCCAGGGCTGCTGGAATGTCATTTCTTGTCACTGTGTGCTGCCTTTTAATGATTCTGGATTTGTCTTATATGGTATAGTAATAAGGTCATGTGGGTGTGGTGGACGAGGAGGAGTGGAAAGAGATACAGGGAGCTCTTTAGTTGCCCGTTGCCCTGGATACAGAGGTCTCACATCCTCATTTATTGTGGCTGTCAGTGTATACTCGGCTAAGCATTACATCAGAAGCAGGTGTCCTCAGAGTTTGAAGACAGAGGCCTTTTCCTGATTTGTGTTCTGGGCTTGGATTACCCTTCCCTCACCCCAATTAGGTTTCTTTGTGTTTCTTTCTCCCCCTTCCCCCATTCTCTTGTCTGTGTACAAATTCTCAACAGAATGATGGCTATATTACCCACCCAGAATTCTTCACTGTACTATGGCAGTGCTGTGTCTCTGAGAGACAGAGTTTGGAGACAGAATGTCCTTCCTTCCTTCTGTTTTTTTTTTTTAATCCTGTTTACTTATTTTGGGATATTCTTCCTAAAGGAGGTAGCTTTTTATTATTTTAATTTCAAACTTGCAGAAGAATTAGAAAAGTATAAACATGAGCTCCTGTGTGCCCTTGTCACTTTTATGTGTGCCATCCTTTCTTTTCTGTTTGCACAGACATATGCATATGTATGTAAAGCATGTGTGTATATATATTGTGCAAAGCATCTATGTATATATGCATGTATGTATACACATGTATGTATGTGTGTCTATACACATACACACGAGCCATTTGAGAATGAGTTGGAGACTTGGTCATTTTTCTTTGAAAGACTTCAGTGTGTGTTTTCTAACACAAGGTAGCACAGGGGTGGAGTCAGAACATTTCAGTGAGTGCAGATGTCACCTACCTTGACATTGCATGTCTGTCGGTCTCTCTTGGCTCTGAGTCATCCTGTCTCTGCTCTCCTGATCTTAGGTGGTTCCTAGGTGTTTGGGAGGTCTCAACACAGTCTAGGCCAGTTCTTTTGTAGACTGTCTTCTATCTTAGCATTGCCTACTGTCTCCTCCATTTTGGTGTTAGCCTCTGTTTCTCTGACAGGAATGTCATGGTAGGAAGCTCAGGACTCAAACACTGTTATGCCAATTTTGACATAGTCAGAGATGGTGTCTGCCAAGTTTTCAGCTTCTGTGTCCTTTCAGAAGTAAGAAGACTGTGCAGTAGGCCTCCTCCTGGAACTTACCCACTAGCCTTTGTGCCTTGCTGGCATCCTGCTGTGAAGTGGCCCTTCTAGCAGTTGTGTTTAAGATCAGAGCCCTTTTCTCTTCTTAAATTCTTGTTAGAGCATAGCAGTCAGAAATGTGGCTCTAGAGTTTTCTTTGTGGCATGACATGGTTTTGATAAATTCAGTTCACATGAGGACTTCATTTTTGTTCTGTGTTTAAGAGAACTTACTTTCTTCATCTGAACTGAGATTTATTAGGATAGAGTCGTTGGCGGTGCTCACTTATCCTTCACTGTCTGACAGATCTCTAGTGTTTCCTTTCATTCATGATTGTCAATTCTTTTAGCATTTCAACACAATTTTAAACCTTACTTTCTCAATTGCTTGCTTTGCTATGACTTTCCACTTTTTTCCTTTCCTTCTGTTTTCTAGAGCTCAGCCTGCTTGGTTTGTGAAAAGGAAGCAGTAGTTTTGAGCCTATCTTTTCTGCTGTATTTAAAGAGGCAGGTTCAGTGCTTATGCCCGTCTGAGTTACTAATGTATCATCAAGAATTATTTATGTTTACAAGTTTCTCCTTTCCTGGGCACATTGGGTTTCTTGTGTCTAGTCTCATCGTTTATGCCTTTTAATTAGCATACTTAATCCATTTTGCTTGATATTGTTGTTGACATGTTTGGATTTATTTCCACCCTTTTGCTATTTGTTTTACATTTTTCTTACCAGTTTTTGTTCTTCTATTCTTTTTTTGTGTGTTGGGGTAACTGAATACTTTTAGGGTTACATTTTAATTTCTTTGTCAGCCTAGTCTGTCACTCCCTCTCACTCTCTGTGCTGTTGTTTTTGTGTGTTACATTATAAATCAGAAAGTGTAGTTTTACAATTTTTTTAAAAAGTTATATTTTTTGAAGATATTACTGAGAGAAAGATAATAGCATTTTATATACTGAATAAATGACTCTTCCTGTCATTTCGCTCCATGTGAAGAACTTCCTTCAAGGCTCCGAGTGGTTCTGGTCTTAAAGGAGTCCTTACTTTCCTCCCTTTTTATGTTAGTTTTGCTGGGTATAGAACTGTGGGACTACAGCTCTGTTTTTTCTTGTAAAGTGTTAAAGCCATTGTTGCCATTGGGTCTCCTGTTTCTCTCTGAAGTCAGCGTTCATTCTTAAGCTTTTATAGATACAGTATCTTCCCCAAGTTCTTTTTCTTTTTCTTCTCACAATGGGTTCTAACAATGTTTATTATCTTACTCCGTATTTGTTGAGCAACCTAGAGTTTATAGTGTTTGGGAAATTTGGGAATTTATTCCTTCACACGCTCCTTCCTTTGCAATGCAGCTCCTTTTTAGTTTTTTTGAAGTAATCTCACTGTGTAGGCCCGGCTGGTCTTGAACTCACCATAACTCATAATCCTCCTGTTTCAGACTCTTGAGTGCAAAATCAAAGTCCTGTGCCAACACTCCTGGCTGGCCTTCATCTTTTAAGGGCAGCTAGACATGCAGTCTCTGCCTTTGGTTGGCCCTCACTGCTTTCGAATAGCTGACTCTTCAGTTTGCTGAACTTCCATAGCTCTTATCCACAGGGCAGTTGATCTCCAGAGCTCATGGACAGCTGCCGGCTCACTGCTGTGACAGTGCCCAGTAAAAGGGACTCACAAGATGGAAATACTTATTTGCTTTATTATTTTTGCAATTTAAGAGATTGTCATCTGTTCATGATGGGAAATATTAGGCAGAATGGCTGACATCAAGGAGGACGGAGCAGAACAGAACAGGATACAGGAGAGGCCATGGCCAGATCCAGTCTCAAATGCCCCCATGACCTCCTTTATCCCAGACAGGCCCCACCACCCAGATTAGTGGATTAAAGCACTCTTGGGCCAGGAGCTGCTTCCTGGAGATGCTCACACAGGCACACCCAGAGTTGACAGCTTCCCTAACTTGCTGTTTCTCAGTCCAGTTCCATTCAAGGGCACCTGTTACAAAGCTACTCTGTTACTATGTGATTCTATTCTGTAGTTTCTATTTCTTTGGTGAGAGTCTTAATCTGCTCATTAATTGTAACTATCTTTTCTTTGTAATTCTCAAGCATATTTATAATGGCTGCTTTATGTTCTTTTTAAAGTTTGTAAATTCTGAATACTGTTTTTTGTTTGTTCATTTGTTTTTTACTATGGATTACACTTTTTAGTCTCATGCCCTTTCCAGCTTTCCTGAAAGGCTCAAACCTGAATTCTCAAACCAGTAACCCTGTAGTGTTTGCTTGGGGTCTCAGTTTTCAGCTCAGGGATGGAGTGTGAAGCCTGCTAACCCATAGCCATGTGGAGCAGTATTGCCTGTGTGTTCTATGGTTGTGTCTCACCTCAAGGCAATTCATTTGTATTTACACCACTTGATATGTCTCTGTGTGGTTTCCTTATCTGAAAAGTGGGACAGTAACCATCCTGGAGCTAAAACATCCAGTGAAGATCAATCAGGTGGTGCATGGTAGGGGTTGGGCGGCTGCTGATGGGGCTGCAGGAGAGCTCATAGCTGGGTAATATTAGGGACACCTTTGGCCTCTGTTGACCATCTGACTTGACAGAACTCAAAGGTATCCTGTGTTTTCCTTTCTGGGTATTTGAGAACGATTTCAAAAGCATGTCTTTTTGTCCCTGTGATGGAGACATTGTGGTATGTCAGGCCATCCTGCTCTTCTTGCTGCATACAGATAATCTGCAGAATGGCGTCCATGCTGAAGAAGAACACAGTTAAGCGCCTGTTGCTGCCTCGGTTCTGTGAACTGTGTAATGATGGGAAACTCTTCCAAGTTCGAAAGGTGGGAGCATAAGAGACTGCAGTCTGTCCCTCTAGTGTCCTGTCTACTTGTTTAGTCAACTCCCGGGAGGACCACTGCTGGCTAGGTAACAATGGACAGACTCACAGGTTCTTTGATTCCTTGGAATGATTAGTTCCAGAACCCTCTTATCATCTCTGTACCTTCCACCCTGTTATTGGTTTCCCTTTGGTTGCTCAAGATTTAGCTTTCTCAGCCCTACTTAGAGGTAGTGATCCCCAGCTTCTACCTTGCTCTTCAGGCCATGTGACAAGCATGGTCAGGACTGGAGGTCTCGTTCACTATGCAGGGAAGTGAACAGACTCTGCCTTATCACTACCAAATGCATTATGCATCAAGATCAATTAGGAGCCAGGAAGCCAAAGAAGTGGGCACTCTCCTATAAATCCCTGTTTTCAATGCAGCAGGCACCTGGCATGGTGCTGTGTGGGCGATGGACCTGGTACAGGCTTGTTAGCTGTCTGACTAGAGGGATAATTGCTCTCAGGGTTCCTGCTTGTTAGGCTTTACAATTTGTTAAGACAAAAAGAAAGAAAAAGAAATGATGGGTAGGCCTTTGCCTTTCACAGGTATGCGCCACGCATTTTGGTGATATTTGTCATGCTGTCGGACAAGAAGCCACCGAGCAATTTTTGGTATGTGAAGCTTTGCCAATCGTAATTGCTGCCACACTCCTTGATATGGTTTGCAAGTCTGTTGGCAAGTGGGTGGGTACAGAGAGCCCAGACACTGTGCTGAGCCCTGTGACCTTTATGCTGTTCCCACTCCTGGTCACATCTCCTGTGTCTTCCTCTGTCTGTGTTTTCTCCGTTGCCTCTTCACCACCCCTTCCAGTGTTCTTTCTTGCCCTTGAGCCTGCATACACTAGGCGTATTTTTCTTGGTTTCTGGGTTAAAATACAAAGCCTTGTCACCATTCAGGTCTCTTTACAAGTATCTCTTCTACCGTGCCTGCAGTCATCCCACTTCTGCCCCACTGTGCTGGTCTGGCTGGGTTCAGCCCTGGCCACACGTCTCAACTGGGAGTCAGAGTTCCTGTGACTGATGTGGCCAGTGGAACACCACATCTATAGTGCCCCCATGACTGTCCTGTGAGGAGTGGAACACCACATCTATAGCCCCCCCATGACTGTCCTGTGAGAAGTGGCTCCTCTCAAGACCATTCTGCCTGTCCTTTGAGAGACCCTACATGCTGCTACCTCAGCTAGAGTACACTCTGGCCTTCTTGTCTTGCCCAGACTCACCTGCCCAAGTGCTGTACAATTTTTCTTTTTTCACCCCCTCTAGCCATTTGTTCATAGGACCTCTTGTGAGGGTTTCACAGATGGGTACCTTGAGGACAGGGATTGTACTGGGTTATCTTCGCCTGGGCGGCTGCTGGGCTCTCAAATTGCACCTGTCTCTTCATTAATGCTCTAGCTTTGTGGTTGGAATTTAACCTCAAAGAGGATCATCTCCAAATTGATTTTTAAATTTCAGTTCAGAAGCACATTTTGTTTATTTAAAGTGTAAACCACATCAACGCCATTGTAAGCCAAGAAAATTTATCCTAGGCTTCTGCTCTGAGGGCCCCAAGAACATGAGCATCTCGTTGATGTCTTTCGTGAGGACAGCAGTGGCCAGCACAGCCATTTTCCTGTGGGTGGCTCTTCCCTCTGTCACACTGTGCTCCCATTTGTGAAACGTTTTCAGCTAAGTGTTTTACATTAGGATTGTAAAATCAAAGCTCTTTAAAAGATAAAATTTAAAAGATATAATGGCTAATTTCATGTAGACATAAATGAATATAGGTAAAAAATTATATTTAATTCATTTGCTAATAAAAGAAACTAGAAAAATATAACAGCCAATCTCAATGGAGAGCCCCACAGAACACATTCACAGTCTGAGCACAGAATCCAGGTGACTTCCAGAGGAATAGACAGGTCATCTACCTTCCTCTGGACATAATTTGCATGTCTGTAGACAGAAATTATTTATATTCTCACATTCTGTGTAGCCCAGACTAGCTTCAAATGTGGAATCCTTCCACCTCAGTCTTCTGAGTGCTGGGATTACAGGCGTGAGCCTTGTGTCTATTCTCAGCTACCACAGACTGACAATACCCTGGTCAAAGACAGTGCCCGTAGCTGGGTGAGTCTGCCATTCACCGAGTCTCTGACTTTTGAGCTGAGAAAGGAGTGTTGGCCCTTCTCTTTGTTTTCTCCATTATCTTCTTAAATTTAACCAAATCACTTGTTAAGGTTAGATGGTGAAAGAGCTATGCTTTCTTTTCCTACTTATTGTTTCTTTTATATGATCCCTTTTGAGAATGTGTTTTGCTGTTATCTGTTTATTGTTGTTTGTTATGCCCCTGTGGCTCTGCCTTTATAGGCTATTGGGACAGATCCTGACCATCTACAGGGTGCTCAGATTTGAGTAGCTACATTCTTTTGTTTGTCTGGTAGATACCAACATTTTTTGAACTCTGCTCCGATAACATGTGGGGGATGCGGAAAGCATGCGCAGAGTGCTTCATGGCTGTGTCCTGCAACACCTCCCCTGAAGTCCGCAGGGCCCAGCTCTCACCCCTCTTCATCAGACTCATCAGTGATCCCTGTCGATGGGTGAGTGCTCACACAACTGGCTTCCAGGTGTCAATCTCTCCAGCTGTCCTGATGTCTCCAATTTCTGTCTTGGTTTCTGGCTTATATATATATATATATTTTCCTTTCATTCATTGATGGCTGTAGTCAGAGCCAGATGTTGTGAGATCAAAATTAGGGTAGCTAAAATGTCAAAGCCTTTGGGATAAATACTAAGAAAGAGGCACAGTTCAACACTTGGGGAAAGTGCACAATATAGAAGCCAGAATTGAGAAGAAAAATCTCTTAAGTGCTTTATTCTCTTTCCTACACTGCCATAGGCAGGTTGGACACTGTCAGTGAGGTCTTCCTACAGACTTCATGAAGTCTAGTGTTAAGTGGAGTTCATAGTCTAGAAACATGAAGACTACCCTGTGGGGTTAAATGTACCTCTTTTCTGTTGATAATGGTTTACTTGGCTTTTAGTGGGTGGTTAGAAAGTAGCAAACTTGAGATCAGCCATCTCTGCCCCTCCCTGCTGTCAGATCTGGTCCCTGCTGCAGTCACCACTGTGTGCTCTGGTTCCAGGTGCGCCAAGCTGCCTTTCAGTCACTCGGCCCCTTTATCTCCACGTTTGCAAACCCACCCCGAGCTGGCCTGTCCATTCGAGAGGATGGCACCCTGGGCATCAGGCCACCGAGCCAAGAGGTGGACTCTGGGTTTGCCTCTGGACCACCCAGGCCCACTGGTTGCAGTGCCAACTCCTCAAACAGGTAAGCTCCAGCCAGGATACTTGGCACAGCCCACCCCTCCCCCCCCTTCACCTCAAGAATCCATCTAGAATTCTAGCAATTATCTCATCTCCAGTTTTAGTAATAGTGACCTTCTGGGCAAGATGGAATATTAGAGCTTTAATTATGTAAAGAAGCAAAAAGTAATTGCAATAATGATTTTGAAACATGACTGCCAGGTTATAAATAACAGAGCTACCGAGTCTCTTCAGTTAGATCAGATCTTCATGGAGGGTGGGGATGAAATGACCTGTAAAGAAAATTCTTTTTCTCCTCTAGTAATGGAGTTCTTTGGAGAATTTACACAGGGAAAAAGGTGAAGTCTCCCAGACATACATTTGTGACATGGGACATTCTGTGTATACAAAGGTCCCATCTCTGTGTGCTGTGTTAACCCTCAGTGTCTTACTAGTGTGAAGACTGATCTTGGACTTTTTAGCTTGCCCTATGAAGATGGTGGGCATGGAATGCCCATATTGAGGTAATTTTTAAGCACCTCATTATGTAGGAGTGTGAGGTAGGACTGTGTGGGCACTTGACTGGCACCTTTGCATACAGACCCTTCTCATCCCTCCATATTTCTCCTCCTGTACTCAGTGTCCTCCTCCTCCTCCTCCTCCTGCACTCAGTGTCCTCCTCCT